GTATTATATGACATTGTCTAACACAAATAAATACATGGCTCACTAGGAACTTATGATAGCTTACATGACAGCTCTCTGAACTCAGAGAAAAACACAGTTTTTATTATTAATTTGTATGTAGAGTCCCAAAAAGGGACCTTCTTCAGGACCCTTCTGCACATAAGAAAAGATTCTGCCAGCTAACACTGCTGTTCCCTGAACTTTGACAGCAATACCACAATCTGGTTATATTCCTATTCAGTTTTAAAGCACTTTCAGCATGACTCCTTAATCTGGTTATATTCCTATTCAGTTTTAAAGCACTTTCAGCATGACTCCTTAACTACAGTAACTATATCCATGTTTCTGTTGATATATAATATTTTTTATATGCCACATGATCATAAAAAATACCTTTTAATCTGTTCTCAATCATATCATATATATCTCAATGTCATATATATCTCAAATATCATATCATATCATATCTCAATGTCCTTTGCTGTTAGAATTGTTTCAGTAGTAGCACCACTACATTCTCATTAGGAGTATTTAGTTCCATGTCCAGTGGTTCTGGCTTTTCTTCACTCTGTCTTATCACCATAAATCTTATTCCCTTACACAGTAACAAGCATGATGAAGTAAAGAAGTCAGTCAGAAAATGGGAATTGTAGAGACATTCTGAAAGGTGACTTATGCCCTGTGTCCATTTACTGCTTATGAAATATCTGCTGCAGTGCCACACATCCCAAGGTCTCAGTGACTTCACGGAGTCAGATATTTCAGCAGGAAGCTTCACTTCTATGCTTGGAGTGCAGTCTCTAAATACTGAGTCCTTGGCTTACATGATGTTAAGTAGACATAAAAATGCATTCCTAACAAATTAATTAATTCATTTATGCTAAATTACAGATTCTTATTTTTTTTTTTGGTTGAGGGTTTTTTTTTCTTATTTTATGAATACAAATGTTAATTTAAAAATGTTTGGACCAAGTCTACTTAGTCTAGAAATATCTTTATACTCGTTACATTTGCAGATCAGCAGAAAACCAAGTAATCTCTATCACCTTGACAAGTGCAGAAATTTTTTCAGAAATAGTTATCTAATGCTTAAGCACCAATATTCTACATAAAATTCCAATCTTTCCTCACATCAAACTAACCTTCACCCATTTGAAACCTGTTCCTTCTTCCCTTCCTCATCAGTAAGACTTTACACATGCTTGCAGTCAAGGGCATGCTTAAGTGCTCTGATGAGCTGGGATTTCAGCCAAGTCTGCATTTCTGCATTATTTAAAGCAGACAGAGATAAGGGAAGAAAACACCCAGGTGACCCAATTTGACCCTGGCAATTTTCAGCACCATTCCATCCTTCCAAGACATGTCTTGTTTTACCTGACAGTTGCTTACATTGCCTTCATCATGGGAAATATTTTCTGCCCAAGGTGTCTTTTTTTTTTTCTGTCTTTTTTTTTCTATATTATCTACTGCTGTAAGCATTTGCTGCTTGCTGTTGATTTATACATGATGTAGCTGACTTTGTTGCTAGTATTCTATGATTTTGCAAAACATCATATTTTAAAGCTGTGAAGACACAATGCAATGACATCCAACCAAAAAAGCCCCCAGTGTTTAAGGAATCCAAATAAGTAACATTAGGATTATAAATTTGCTTAACACCCTAGATTATTTCCAAGCTCAATAATTTTTTTCATACAAATTAGTTAAAAACACCGTTGATGTGACAAACAGCCAAAACATGAGAGGAGTTTGTTTCCTTTGTAGCATCTGTAGGTTGCACAGACCCCAGAGATACCCTGGGCATTTTGCTCGATGTAGTAATGACTATGAGAATTTGCACAAAGAATTGCAGTTTTACTTGTCTTCGTACACAAACATTTCAAGAAAATTAATCTAAATTATCTACTAAGGGAGTTTACTTAAACTGATTTAAACATGTGGGTAAGCCTATTTCAGAGTTAAAGCAATCTTGATTCAATTTAGTCTCATTTACTTAGCCCGAAGTGAATGAAAGAAAACAAATTAAAGCTACTTTAATTTTGAGTAAGCATGTTGATGCAGGTATCTAATGAAGTTTTGCTACCTTAACATTACATTCACGTCATAAATTAATTTCCCTCTCTGCTGCCCTTGAAACAAGATGTCAATATCATGCAACGTTAGTATTTTGTTGCATGCTGGAAGAAGTACAGGTGTATGAGAGACTGAGTTTTAGATCTAAAACAACAAATTAATAACGGCATCAGAAGAGGCACCTTACAAAATACACCACCCATCTGCTGAAAAACATACTGGTACAGAGATGTAAGCAAAGAGAAGCAGTGATACAGGAACCAAGTTCTTGTGGAATTTTCATTTTCTTTGATTTCTTCTAGTGAATTAAAGATGCAAGAACAAGGATTGTTTTTTAAGATATTGAAACACTTGGCTTTTATGAAGAGTTCCAGTGACTTCTACACTACCAGCTTCTCTAGGATTTCTTTGAGGGTTTTCATACTTCTAGTGAAGATTGTCAAGATATTTTTTTATGCTTTCCCAATACTTAAAAAAAATTAAATTCCACAGAATTCTATTGTGAGTTATAATGGAGACCTAAACCATTACCGGGTTTGTACAGATGTGAGCTAAATCAAATGTGTTCTGTGGTATATAATTATCTTTTTGAAGATTAAAACAATGGTGTTCGATAGCAAACTAAATAACTCCAATTTGTGTGAGCACTGTTAGTTAATCTCAGGTCTCTGAAGAGTACATGACTGGTATAAATATATATCTACTTGTTTATATACCTTGAGTACTGAATTACAAAGACTGTGGGTTTTTGCTGGGGGTTGAGATTTCTGGCAGGAGGATTTGAGACCTGCAGGGATGAGTAAGTGTCAGCAACACTGCCTATAGAGGAAAGTCACTGCTTTGTAATCATGTTTATATTCTGTTGGAAGACTTTTGCTAAATTAGAATGGGAATACGAAGGATAGGAAATCTCACTGGAAGATGTATGTGTAAACCACTCTTTCAGTACATTTAATCAGCATAGCATGCTATATATTTTTTTCTTTTCCACATAATAACCTTTCACATTGACTTGATTATAAATAAATTGAACACTGAAGAATAAACCTTTTTTTAAAATTAACATTCCCCTTCAGTGTCCTTTTTCTCCTCACACAAGATTTTTATACTTTTAAAAAAATACATTAGAAGGTCATCAAGTGGATCTAGCTCAAAGCACATTTCTTTTATAAAACTGTTGAGGAATTAAAAATATTCACTATCTAGAGATTTCAGCCATACTCTGGAATAACCATTCTTTACAGTCCATCTAATCAAGTTGGATGTAAAGGTAAACAGCTGAATAAAGAGGATGGTGAGCATAGTCCCAATTTTAGAAAGGTTATTCAAGCCTCAATATTCTTTATTCAATTTCTCATTTCCCCACTCCTTAGAAAGGCAGTAACTGTAAATGCCTCCTGTCAGTTCCAGGACCCTGTGAACCTGAGGACCTCATTGATGGAATCATCTTTGCAGCCAATTACCTGGGCTCCACCCAGCTGCTGTCTGAGCGCAACCCTTCCAAAAACATCCGAATGATGCAGGCCCAGGAGGCAGTGAGTCGTGTCAAGGTAGGGGATCTTTATGGGCTGTAGAATACCCTTTGATCCTTTAACAGCTGATCCCTGACTGCTGCAGGATCTGCAGCCTCAAACCTCTCCTGAGGTGCACTTAGGTAAGTACAGATCAGTATTGTAAATACCATTAGTTTACAGTGCTTGCTGTAAAAATACATACAGCAAAATATAAATTATTCCAGAGTCTATTCAAAATTCTTTGGAGGCTGTTTAACAAATTCAAGTATGAGAGACAGATTGCAATTAGAAAATATTCCAGTGGCAAAGCACTGGGGTATTTGTTTGGCTGTGGTTTTATTCTTCTGTTATGACATCCTTTAACTTACTACAAATTGAGAAAGTCTCGATATGATTGCTTATGACTTTTAAAGGAGAAGAATATTAATTTCTATTGTGTTTGGATTTGGTGTTATTTACAGTGAAAAATTTCTTTGTAAATAATGTATGATAGACTGCTTCATAAAGCTGTGTAAAGAAAATAGTTTTTTGGTTAAGAATCTACACAGGAGATTTTTATTTTAGAAGTTATTTTATCTCTGATGTAAATATCTCATCTGAATAAACACACTGTTAAAGGCAGATTTAAATACTAGGAGAAAAAGTATGTGCATAGTCAATGAAATATTTAATTGATAAAATTTGCATGATTTTGAAGGAAATGAGTTTGGAAAGGCCACTTACAAGAGATTGTCATGATTGATGATTGATTTAGCATTTAGAAAAAAATAGAATGCAAGAAAGGTCCAGTTCTTTCAAACTTTCCAAACCTTTCTGTTTCTATTTAGCATACTGTGATATCTCAAGCTACAGTAAGTAATTGTTGATTTCAGTTAACTCCCTAAAACCTGTTTTATGTATTAATACCAACCCCAGTTTGTTGGGGTACTTGAATACTCCAGACAGTCATGGCAGAGAGCTTGAGCTGTGTTTTTCTCAACAGTTACATGTAGGTATGTGATGAACATGGAGACAAAACCTTGGGTTTAAGATGCATGTGCTGCAATTTCTGACTGATTTGGCAGGATAAGTGTTGGGAGCAGCAGATAACAGACAACACCTTGGTACCAATTCTTTTGTAATAGATTGTCAGTGTGTATGAAATCAAATTATGCTAGAGAACTGCATAAGGTATAAACAAATCTTTCTCTCTTGCACATCCTTCCCCCACTGCTCCCAGTTTTTTAATTTTCTGCAGTCTGGATTCACAGTCAAAGTTTCCCTGACTTCCCACACTGTCTTTTCTCTTTCCCTGTGTGTACATCTGTCTGCATTCTTTTTTTTATGCTACTCCTCAGAGGATGCAAAAGGCGGCTAAAATCAAGAAAAAAGCGGTGTGTAAACTGTTTTTCTTGAATGCTAATGTTTACTTACATTTTTGTTGTCCTTGTTTTCCATGGAGTGTCACATCTTTCGTTACAGATCCTCATAAAGTTGTCATTTTGGTTTCTTCTTTGGTCTGCAGTAGAATAGTGAATGGAATAAAATTAACCCATTTTCTTCATTGTTCATTTGTTGGAGTGCCTGTCTGCTGCCCTTCTCCTGTTGAATAACTGTGATTTGTTTACTCCAGATGTACAACCATTGTTGTCTGGGAGTTGTTTTTGAATGTAATGCTTATTTTGATTTTACAAACCAAAGCAGTAAGACATGCTTCCTGTGCCTGTGACTTACTGTATATTTATTAAATTATTGTTGATATTTAAAATCAAAATAAATTCACCACATAGTAGCTGGAACAAGTCATACAGGAAACATTGCACTCAGTTAAAAACAATACTTCAGATAACTAAATACAGTTGACAAAAATATCAGCATAAGGATGGAAGCAATACAAGAAGCCTCTGCCAAAGTATGTGCTTGCTTTGTATTTTACTGGAAAATAATTTGAATTAAATTAATCTAAATTAATTATAGGCATAGCTAAGCCTTTACAACTCCAAAAAAGATTAGCAAATACATAATTCTCATCATGAGCCAGTGTCTGACCTGGAGACTGGTGCCTGCCTTTAGCCCAGGCTGAGACAATCTGTGGCCATTTTATTCTGAGGCGCTGCCACAGGTGCTGCTCAGTAGCAGCTGCAGTAGTGCCCTTTGCCCAGCAGCCTGGAGGAACCTGTATGTTCCTGCTGGACTAGAGAGTTAGGGAAGCTCTTGGACAATGCTTCAGTGAAGGCAGCAGCTGCTTAGCCAACTCTTCTCCCATTTTCTCAAATAGGCAGAGCCAGGACCCCCATTGGGGTGCAGCGTTGCATTGTAATGCCTGTTGCTCTGTGGCCGTGCCCTCTGAGGGTGTATGCAAGTGTTTCCCTAGTGAGGAGTGCTCAGAAAAAATTGTGGTCTAAAAATCCCTTGATTGCCTTCTGTGATATGAGAGAAACATTAGTTCAGTGCTCAGTTCTTTATTTTCTAGGGAAAAAACAAAAGCAAAAAAAAAAAAAAAGTCCTAAACCCCACCACAGTACTGAGTACCAGTTTGCACTTTTTTTGGTGAGCTCACTGAAGGTGGCAAGGGCTGAACAGCTGACAGGGGCTAAGTCACCTTCTCAGTTCTCCTGCTTTCTCAAGTCTGGTGCCTCAAGTACTGAAATGCACCACTGAGAAAGTGAGGAAAAAACAGCCATACTTTTTCTCCTGTTTTGGCTATAAATAGAGAATTTTAATCCTTGAGCTGTCAATCCCACAGGCTCCAAAAATTCCCTCTTACCCAGAAGATCAGAGTAGGCTTCACTGTCTATGCAATAAATGTACTCTTTGCATGTCTTTAGAAACACCTTTGAATAGCCAGCTCTGTAATGGTTTAAAGTGCAGCTGCCTCACGTCACATTATGCTTGAAGCAGTCAGTGAATTTGTCATTCTGAAAATTAAAAATCCCCTTGTAACAAAGCATCTGTCTTTTAGACCTCAGAGGGAGATTCCCAGGCCTTGACTGAAGTGGATCTGTTCATCTCCACACAGAGAATCAAAGTTCTAAATGCAGACACACAGGTAAGTTGGATTTAAACTCTTGGAGAATGATGACTGTGCTCTTATACAATTAGTGGGACACTTCACTGAACCTTGATAAATTCAGGTATTCAGAGTATTCAGAAAGAGTTCCTATTGTTCTAACACTTGCTAATAGAGTAAGACTGAAACCTGTTTTGCTTATTTGATGTACTGGAAGATATGTTGCTATAATTGAGCTATAATTCAATTCAAAAAAAGATTCAAAAGCCTTTGAGAATGCATGAACACCACTCCTGTGGTAAAGCTTCAGAACCCAGATTTACAGTCCAACAGGGAAGTCATTTGCTGCTTTGACTAAGCCGTTCATATCCTGCCATTTTTAACATTCAATCTCAATTTTTTTCCATAAATCACACTGAGCCACCATCCTCTTGCCTAAGGTAAATTATTAATCATTCATATCAAAGCAGCATCTGGAGACCCAGCAATGATCAGCCTCATCTTCTAGGAATGCTTATATATTCAACAAGAGGTGATCTTCATAAAAAGGAGTTTTTGAGGAATTTACTAAATACATATCATTTATACATGGATCCCAATATTTAGTAATCTCACAAGTTCTCTTAACTTTGGTCATACTTACAGGAAGTCTTCACATTTTCATTCTTATGAGAGGCATTGAAAAGGGCAATTTTAGCAATGTTTTGTCAGAAGTAAACCATGTCAAGTCAATTGTTTTCTTTTGTTTAGGGGATATATTTGTCCATGGCACAGAAGCAGCACATGTCATCTCTGTACTTAGATAAGGCTTTAATATAATATAATATTTTCTAGATTATATGATCTAGATATATAGCTAGAGATAGAAGGCTTATAAAAACTTCAGTGTAGTTATGTCTGATATATTGCTATGGGGCAATGTAAAGAGAAAAAGGGCAGAGCAAGACTCATAAGCATGTTTCTCTAATGTAGCACTGTTTAGTATTTTCATAAACACATGGGAAAATAGAAAGAGAAAATGGTTATTGAACTTGTACTTTGGTAAATCAAATCAGAGTTCAGAAATAATGGCTAAATGAAGAAATGAGCTAAAACTATCGGAAACACTTGAACAAAGATAAATGTAGCACTCTACATACAGAGTTTTGGTTTTAACTATAATTGTTTTCCAACAGTGGAGACTATGAAGCACCTTCTTCTTCCTGAAATTTAGAACATCCTTTAAAGTGAGGGTAATGATAGTATCTCCAAGAAATGGATTATTTTTCTTTCAATATAAGCAAATGTCCTTAACATGCCACTAGACCTCCCATGAGATGAGCCAGATGAGTGGAATAGCCCATCCAACATGGGCAGCAATATTTACAACCTGCCACCCACAAATCATCCTGAAACTGCATTTTATCAACCATAAACAATACCACTATTGGCTGTGACTCAGCCTTGTCTTGACCTCATGGTAACTGTGCATCATCCAGAGATTATATTATCAAAGCTGATAACTACTTTTTGCATTAGCAGAAAATAACATGCTCATAATTATCAGTGTAAAGATGCTTACAGACAGTTTTTGATAAATGAACAGCTACAGTTTATAGTTGGAATGTATGGCAGTTAAAAGCTACGGTGTCTTTGTTGGATAAGGATTAGTCTTAGTGGAAGCCACTCTTCTTACTTCTTTAAATAGTTCAGCATTTCAGCTGAACACCAATTTTTTAAAAATAGAAAGGAAAGGTCCTTTGAAGTAGCCCATAAACAATGTCAAAGGAACTGGCATCCTACTCTGATGATCCCCTGAGATTTGTAGTGATGCAAAATGCAATGCTCCATCATGAGTGGTGTCTAATATCTGAGCTGTTCAACCAGATATAAATAGTAACAGTGAAAATTGTTCTAATTCCAAGCTCTCTAGTGTTTGCCCTGGGGTTTTTTGTAGTTTTTTTGGTTTGGTTTTGTTTGGGGGTTTTTTTTTGCAGTGTGTCTTTCAGAGAGCTATAACAGAATTATTCCCATGACTTTTTAGCATTTTTGGCTTGGTAACACTTCACTGCTGGTGAAGTTCCTGGCTGGTGTAATTACCATGGGTCTATTCAGCTGGGGCAGCTGGCAGAGACAATCTGTACTTTCATGAGTTTGTCAATTACATAAAACCCTACTTCTACAGTATGCCATGTGTTTTAATCCATTTGTAGTGTTGTTTAGCTCACGTGAGGTAACAGCTGAACGAAAATGTAAAATTCCCATTCAGAAAATGACATGCAGCAAGGTTCAAAATGCTGGGCAGCATCAGTCAGGTGCATTCCCAGGCTGGAATAGAGCCAGCAGTGGTGATTCTGTTGCCCTGAACAGCTCCAGGAAATGGCTCCCCTGCCACTTTCTGGTTGCTTATGCATTTAGTTGCTGAATACATTTAGCCCAAGTTGAGCACCTGTTCAGAAGGAATGAAGTAGGAGCACCTTATGTTTGGCCACGTGCCTTGTTGATGGGAGAGGAATTCTTCCCTGTGCCACAGCTTTGTGGGGTTGCACTCAGTGCCCCAAACCAGCAGAAGCCACAGCAGCTTCTCCCAGCTTCTTGCTCAGTCAGAGGAGCTGGGAGTGAAGCAACTAGCAAAATGAAGAAAGAAAAATAAATATATAGAGCTCACAAATGTGTATGTACAGAGCCTCTGGTGCATGATCGCCTCCATAAAACCGCCTGACTCATTAGGTTGTCTAATTCACACTCCCACAGGACTACAGCACTTTAAAGTTTGGAGGAATTCTTAGGGGTTTTTTCCTTCTGCTGTTCTTTGGGTTTCAAGAGAAACAACAAACAAGATTCTAAAAGAATTCCATGGAAAGGAAGGGAGAACCTGAGAAAGGGCAATCTAGACAGAACAGAATAATGGCTTCAGAAAGGCCTGGGAGAGGCTGAATTTCTAAGGACAAATATAAGGACAACAAGGATGGAATGGATGGGCCTAGAAAAGGGATAAGGGAGATAACTCAGAGGCAAATGGGCAGAGATGGAGGGATTTAGGGGAAAGTAATAAACAAGAGGGGTGAAAAAGAGATACTGCTAAGGGAAAATTGAGTACAATGGAATATGGAGAGAGAAAGGAAAAAGTCAAGTTACAAGTAAGTCAAAAATAAACTCATGTTTACAGTCACTAGATAGTATTTGCCTCATCCTTAACAGGAAAAATGTGGAAGGGATGGGGGAATGATTGCTTTCACCCCCTACAAGGGGAAAATAAAAAAAACCTCAAACCCTTTGAGTAATCTCTGTGTGATGATATGGGCAGAAAGCCTTTCTTGGCAGGTGAGATGAAATGCCTTCATTTTCCCAATGCATTCACTCTTGTGCACACTGCATGTATGATTACACCCTTACACAATACTCAGTGCACACTGCTGAAAAGCAATTATCTCTGCAGAGCTCCCAACATCCTGCTGAGAGATGTCCATTAGAAAACATTTCTCCATTCTGACAGAAGTGCTGTAAATCCTCCTGAGCCCCCACAGTGC